TGCTACGTCTTAGTGCCCTTCTGCTGGCCCCCTTGGGGATGCTAAAGGTGGCAGGGGGGCGGTGCCTTGAATGGGTGTACCTGCAGGACGGGCACCTTGAATGCCCCCCTGCCGCCTCTTAGCGCCCCCAAGGGGGCCAGCAGAGGGACGCTAAGAGGCAGCAGGGGCGGTGCATCGAACGTGGCCGTGGCGGCACATAACATGCCACCGCTTCTGCATTGGAGGCACTGGCTCTGGAGCGGTGCTACAGTCAATGAGTGAACCTGCAGGGCCGGCGCCTCAAATGCCCCCCTGCCGCCTCTTAGTGCCCCCTGCCAGCCCCCTTGCCTCTTAGCACCCTCCTAAGGCATCCCACCGCCCCCCAGGGGGCAGTACCGCCCACTTTGGGTACCACTGGTCTAGTCCGTCCATCCACCTCCATATGAACTTGTGCAGTTATTTAGATAGCTACTAGAGATTGAGCACAACTTCACCTCTAATTTTGGTTATCAAGGACGTTCTCAGTTAAACTTTTAAACTATTGCATAGAAAACTGATACTTATCCTATGGATGATTAATTTTCCTGCAATTCCTGCTTTGCTATTACTTGCACAATATTCAGTTTTTACAACCTGATCAACAAGTTTAGATAACTATTTTATAATTTTTTCCCTAGTTACAGAAGGCTGCAGCAACTGGATACCATAAAGTTAAGTAATATGGGACTGGTATATTTCCTTCTTGTTTTTCTGTCTTAGGCTGTTTTCCTCTAGGCAATTTTGTTTAAACAGTGTAAGTGGAATAAAATCTGTGCCTCTAATAATTCTGCAGTTGTCAAAGGCAGTACTGAATATTAGAGTTCTGATATAACAATTAGCAATGATATGGTTTGTTTGGTTTTTATTGGCAAACAGCACAAGCCAACCCAGTGTATTCTGTAAAATGGTCCTGCTAATTGTAGTTTAAGCTAATAACTTTATAAGTTGTAAGAAGCTAGTCTAAAAGCGCAAATATTCATCTAATTCAATTTATTTTAATCATCAGAGGTAAACAATAGAAACAGCCAGATAAAATCAAACAATTAAAAGGAAAGAAAACAGATTGTTGAGTAATTTTTGCTGCCAGGTGTTGCTACAACAAATGTGGCTACAACAACAAATGTAGCTATTGTGTAGGTGGTTTTAGGGTATGACTCTTAAAGTAAAAAGTGGGTTTAAAAATAGTCTGTTCTCCCAGAGTCCCTTATCAAAGAGGATTTATGATGTCTGTTTGAAGACTATTATAAAAGTTGTATTAAAGAAGAATATATCGAATTAGCTCAACTTACAGTACTTGTAGTCACAAGAGCAAGTGTGTTGAAATAGGAGAATGAGTACACATCTAAATTGGATGAGAGAAAAGATGATGTATGGTCTTCATTAAATACATAATCTTAAATTATCCTTGTGGAAATCTGTCACTGCTACCTCTGTTCATTTCCTAGTGCTGGAAGTTAAAACCCACCCATCTCCTAGGAAAATGAAATATTTTAGGAAATATTAAAAAGGCAGAATATTTCCCCTAAAAAGAGTAGAAACTCAGAAGCAGAAACTCATCCCCACCTTTATTAATAGGTGGGCCATTAAGGCCTGGGCCAGAGTATTCTACATAATAAAGGCAAAACGTAGTCACCAAACCAGTAGTAACACCAGTTGAATCCCACCCCTGGGGCAAGTCCATGACATCCACAGCCCAACTTCTAATATAGAGAAATGGATGAGGATGCAGGAGAAACTTAAGAGATTGCTACTCTGTGGAGACCTTGGTGCTTTCTGAGCTTGGTTGTTTTCTTGCAGACACTTCATTACCAAGCTAGATAACATCTTCAGTGCTAGAAAAGAGAGTGGGATTTGTTCTCTATCTATATCTAGTAACTTGTGCTGCCAATTAAGATGCTGTTTTTTCCTTGGTAGTTTTTTTTAAAATTAGGATGTTCTTTATCTGGTGTTCTCCTGATATTAATATTTGCTTATCTGGGAGTTGATTGCTGGCAAGGAGCTTTTCTGGTCTTTTTGTTTCCTTTTTAGCTTTTTTATTGCTTCTTTTTAACTTTCTAATTATTGCTTCTTCTATTTATTTCTTTTTCTTGTTTCTAGTGTGTAAATGCTGTTATCCCTGTGTGGAACTTTATTCAGTGTGGTTTGTTTTTGGTTTTTGTTTCATTATCTGCTCTTTGAATTTGAACTGTATTTCTTTCATTTGGAATGTTATTTTGAAAATAGTTTAATCTCCAACTGTGAACAATTGAACAGTGAAGCCAAGTTGAAGGCATTAAAGGATCTTTATTTATGTTTTGGTTTTTGTTATATTTGTGGTACACACCAGGTCATCACAAGAATGCTCATCATTTCCTAGATGAAATTACTGTCATATTGTGAAAATACAGATTGCTACTCTTTCCGATCCTGTCATTTGTCCCCTCACTCATCTCTCTCACACACACCCAAGTCAATTCTGCCTAAAGGCAGGGTTGCTCTTGGCTTTCCAGTTGAACATAGCTTGTCATGGGTGCTTTCAGTTTTTTGACTTGGTTTTCCTAAATTGCTTTCAAAGTTCTGTAATTGATTTATAGCATATGACATGGGGGGCAAATCCCTGCTCTGGGATTTGTTTTCAAGTCAATTATAATTTTTTTTAATCTTGTTGTAAAAATAAGATTAGTAAACAGCCTGTCAAGAGATGGTCTTTATAACACTATAAGTCCAGATGGAAATTTGACTGGGTTGTATCAGTGAAAATGCTATCCCAGGCTGATGCTTATTTATTTTATTTCCTGAGGTAATTTCCTGAAAATGAGACAATTATACAAAATGAAGGAGGGTTGCTAATAGATTTAGCACTGTGAACTTGTTCTTTTTATAATAATTAAAAGATGCTTATTGAATGTGTGTGACAAAAGGGATGTAATTTGAGTTTCCAAAGACTGTTCTGGTCCAGTTTCAATCTGGGTTGCGTAAGAATGATAATGGACACACAATTGGAGAGGAGGCAGGTAAGTTTATTTGAAAGCATAGAAGCAGAACTTGAAGATAGATTCAAAATGGAGCACAAAAAATCAGGTGCTTTTATAGGGAACATGATCTTTGTGAAGGGGTGTAGGATATGAGTAAATATGCGCCTCCGGTGATGTTTAACTTGGTGCACATGGAACTCCGGTGGGGAAGATATTTTAATTAACTTTATATAAAGTATTTTCTGTTTGTTATTATTTGTGCTGGTTAATTAGTTTATCCTGGTCATTAATTACTAAAGAAGGTATTAATCGGTGATCTTTGTAACATAGTTTTCAAGTTTGGGTTACCGGTGGGTCATGTTAATAATGATTAAAAGGAGGGTTGGAGACAGTATAGGAATAAATGTAATTTTGAATTAAAATTCTTTTTACAATTATTAAAATTCTTCCCAAATGAGAAAGGTCTAAAACACAACCTTCCCTAATTTTAATTACAAAAAGGAAGGGAAGGGGGAAATACCATACATTCACAGATTTGCAAGATTCTTATAATACAAGTTGTATTCATTTGTATATCTTTGGTTTCCAAGTTTGGTCTAAGTCCAAGTTTGGCTTGGCGGTTGTTTGCTGTCAGTATTACCTGTGAGGAAGAACAAAAGGGCCACCTTCTTTGAATAACAGAATAAGAGAGTTGGAAGGGACCTTGAAGATCATCTAATCCATCCAACCCCTTGCTCAAGCAGCAAACCCTACATGATCTCAGACAAATAATTATGCAATCAACCTCTTCTTAAAAACCTCCAGTGTTGGAGCATCCACAACTTCTGGAGGCAAGTTATTCCACTGATTAATTGTTCTAACTGTCAGGAAATTTCTCCTTAGTTCTAGGCTGGTTCTGAGATGACGATCATTTCTAGAATTCCTCAAACAGCCTGTAGCTGCCCGTTATTGAGCTTCATAAAAGCATAAGAACTGGTACTGGAATTACTTTGATTTCCCTTTCTCATTGTGGCCTTTTTTCCCTGGGGTACATATTTTTCAGTGCGTAAGCAGCCTTTTGGATAGGAGATAGGGGAGAAATGCTAAATAACTAAATAATTTGTAAAATTAAGAGGAACCTGATTCTGGGCAATTTTGCTTGTCTTTTTGCATTTCCTGAAAATCTGACCTGCGTAGGTCAGACAGGGCCTCATAAGTCATAACCTGTTATTTTCCTGTGCTGCTGGGCTGGTTTTATCAGTTTATTATTTTGACCTTGGACACTTCCTACAATGTGAATTGTGGTGGAATAACAGATAAATACACGTTCAGAATTATCAGAGAAGGAAATTCATGGCGGATTCCAGAGAAAGATAATCCCTGTGAAAGAAGCAAGTTTACAGTTTCCCTGTACATATAATAGAGCACAACTGCAACTCCGCCCATTCCTAATTCTAGCCTACCCTTAACCGAACCTTGTTGGTGCCCTTGTTATGACTGGTCAGGTACCACAGATCTGCTTAAGTGAACCTTAATTTTTTTTTTTTTTTGATGGATAAGGTATTTTAGAGGTTGTTACAGTAGAATCTGATGCATAGTTTCTGAGGGGAGGAGGGTCTTTCAGGAGGAGCTAAGAGGCAAATTAGTCTGGAATCCTTGGTATTCAGGAAGAGCTCCAGAGTAGACCCCCTCCTAACCATCCAGTGAGTATATCTGACAGTTATGGAAGTTGTGCTTTAGTCTAACAAGGTTCTTTCGATGGGTGAACAACAATAAAGAAACTACTCTGAATACATCATAGTGTTGTCCTTGGTTCCTTACATCTGACGGTCTCTTCCTATTCCAAGGATATCAGATTTATTCCAGCAACTCTGCAACAGATTTCACCGCAGTTGTGATAGTTCGGAAACAACATCTCAGCTTTAGCTTTTGAATCACCAGGATCTTGCTTGGCAACTGGCCATTCCAAAGAGTGAATCACCAGGATCTTGCTTGGCAAGGTTTTGAATCTCCAGGATCTTACTTGGCAACTCTTGCCATTCCAAAGAAACATCTTCAGAGCATTCGAAGCAGGTGATTTCAGACATCAAGCAAGAGAGACGTCAGAGAACATGTAAGTTCAATTTCTCTGCATATTATGACTAGAAGAATATATGTGTATCAGGGTCTACTCTGGTGTATTTGTAATGGCTAAAATGTAAAAGATCCTTAGTGTTACACAACAGGGTGAACTGAATAAGCTTAATCAAAGAATGTATTTTGAAAGATATCAACCCTAATGAATAAATGTATGCTAAAAAAGCAGGGAAAGTGCAAAGAAAGTAAGTTTGACTTTTCTTGATGTCGAATACTGCCAACAGTTGGGAAGAATGGATTGCAATTCACTGCACTATTAATAGGAAATGAGTGGTTATATAAACATTGTGCTTAAAATCCAAATTCTTATATATGTGCTAATGAGTGCTATGAGTCTAATTGAATGGGTTCACATATCACCCTAAGCCTTTATGGGATTGGTTTGATTTTGTTTTTGTTTATAATGTTAGCTAGGTTATATAGTGGGTTAGTCAGAAAATTACAGTTAAACAAGCAAAGGTTTAGCATAACATGAAAATCAAATGTCTATAGATATGAAATTGTACACTATTCTTGATAGTTTGCTATGAATATTTAAAGAATCAATGAGCTGGATACAGTACATATTAAAAGATGAATGTTATAGTAATTCCGGTGGTTTTAAAATTACTATTTATATATATTGTATATTAAATTAATATTTAAGCATATTGCTTGTATAATGTGTTTTGTTCTTACATGGGTATACTAAAGAGGAATAGATTCATAATAGCAATAACTACAGTGCTTAGATTTATATACCACTCCATAATGCTCAGCACTCCCTGAGCAATTTACAAATCCATATTGCCCCCAACAATTTGGATCCTCAGTTTTTTGATCTTGGAAGGATGGAAGGATGGAAGGTTGAGTCAAACTTGAGCTGGTCAGGATCAAACTCCTGGCTATGGGCAGAATTAGCTTGCAATACTTCATTCTAACCACTGCGCCACTATCCATAATCCTATACATATTATTGAACAGTTTTATTGATGATTATGATAGCTTTTATAATATTAGGATATTTGATAAACCTATAAATTGAAGCAAATTAATTAAATATATCAAATATAGTTTTAGAAATCTTTAAACTGGAATCCTGGTTCCTGAACCTGATTCACCTGAAGATCTTTCCATTTTACTTCCTCTACTGTTTAATATATTTCGCATCTTGCTGTTTTAAGTAAGTTTAGAATGGGTTCCTTCCTGAATTTGAATAACAAAATGATGATATGGTATCACTGTTTAAACCTTCTCCTATCTTATCAGGCTTTCTCTGTACAAAGGAGAAGGTGCAAATAAAATCGAACCAGAGACAGATCTGACTCGCTGGCGACTGAGCACAGTGGAAGGACGGCAGAAGTGGTATTACGTGCCCGAAAATGAGGAATGTGCCAGGGAACAGAACGCACTTGAAGCATATACTTTAGGGCTAAATACAGTAAGTGGCTGATGATCATTACAAGTACACAAATAATGTCCACAGTGGCAAAGAAAAGCATGAATGCTACCAATAAAGGGCAGCCCTGATGCAATTTAGCAAGTACTGATGGTCTTTTTTCTGTTTGTGGTTTCCAATCTGACATGTAGTTTAAGGTTTCTTATAGTGAGAAAGGAACTCAGTCTTGTGTATCTACCACCCCAATATCTGTACCTTCTTGTATACTAACTAGAACCATTACTGGTGCAACACTCCTGATAGCCGTAGATATAGATAATGTTAAAAGAGTGTTTGTATCTGAAGTGAAGTGATTTGTGCTTTTAGCAAAGGAAGATCATGAAGGCTCCTTTCAGCTTGAGGCTGTATTAGGTTGCTGACAGTGTAAACATTTTCCATCTCGCTATAGAAATTTTCCCTAAAGAATTTTAAACTGAAAAATGGGTAAAAACCCTTTGCTCCAATGTTTTAAAAAAGGAATGTAGCCAGAATAGAAAGGGTAAATTTCTCTTCCTCATTACCAAGATTCCAGACCTCTTGTTGTCTTCTCTGTTAACTTAGATAAAATGTCCCTGAAAGAAATATAGTGAATATATTGAAAAATGTGACCTGACAGGAATATATTTCTCTTATCACCATTATTTATTTTACAGAGTAAATTTTTTCCAGAGTTGCCCAAAGCCAGCACGGCCCAGGAAGCAGTGCTGAAAGCAATTAAGTTTTTTTCAGGTCTACAAGCTGAAGATGGCCATTGGCCTGCCGAATGTTCTGGCGTGCTCACCCTTGCTCCAGGTATACATTCGTTCTGTGTAAATCAACCAGTTAAAATTATGTCTGTGCTGTGAATTAAGTTCTCTTTTCACCTATGGAATAAGCACACAGAACTGGGAAAATGGGAGTGGGTGGAAATCCTCAGCTATGTAAGGCCAAGTAGGCCACGGCTCCTGCTAGATTAATGTTGCCTCTCTTTCCCAATTTTGTATTCTCCAGATATGTTGGAATTCATCTCCATAACTCCCATTTTTCTGTCAATGCACAGAGTTACAGTCTCCACCAGGTTGAGATAGGCTGCTGTACGGTTTTCAGCCTTTCTCATTTGATTCATTTTGGAGATTCCAAAGTTTGAACTGGGATCTTGAATTTGGATTCTTTCATATATGAAGGGAAGAGGGAAAGGTTATTCCAGAATAATAGGTTGTTCATGATTTCTGAGAAGCAGAAACTATTCTTCCGTCCAGTCTCTGGCAGGTGTTCAGGCATTTGAGGAAAAATTGGATAGGGAGTCTGCTTTTTTCCTCTTGAAATAATGATAGTTATCTGTAGGCTTTTGTGTTTTTATTTAAAAGTAATAGATTCCAGGAATATTGGAGAAATTACAATTGAGAAAGTGCAGAGATTCTTTGCTTGATCTTGATGAATAAAATCTTACTATATTGATCCCCCCCCTTTTTAAAGGGAAATAAAAATACAAATTTTCCCTATAGATTATGAAACAAGGTGACTTTTAGTGCACAAAAAAATTCCAAACTCAGGTGTTATTGAATAGTCATGGTCTTTTTAATCAAACAGGTCTTTTGATTGCATGCTATGTTTCTAAGATTTCCCTGCCAGAAGAGATAAAGAAAGAAATACTACGATATATACGTTCAAGACAGCTTCCGGAAGGTGGCTGGGGTCTGTGAGTGAAGTGAAAAAATTGTTGCTTTTTTCTTTTCTTTTTTTTTGGGGGGGGGGGGGGGAAGTAATTTCTGATAAATTCCAAATAATGGCAGAAGGTTATCTGACAACTTTCTATACCCTCTTCTGCTCCCTTGCTTATACTTACCGGTATATCAGTGCCTACAATAGAATGCAAGTACACCAGCATCTACTATTTCTTAGTTCTTGAATTGCTTCATTTTGTTTTGTTTTATATGCTAGATCAAGATAATGGTAGAAGATTAACTTAAATATGACATTAGCTGTGGAATAACAGCTTGCAAATTTCCATACTCCTTTCTGCTTATTTATTGATATACTTATTGTATCAGCACCTACAATTTTCCATGTTAGTTCTTTGTTTTTCTTATATGTATAGGTTGCTTCAATGGTCATCTACTCTAAAAGGTTTTAAGACTTTAAAACTTTTTCAAATAGATCAGCATTTTTCAAACTTGCCTACTGTGTTATTTTCAAAAAAATAAATATTTATTGGCTACTTAGACGTTCTGAGAGAAACCTTGTACTTTTCACACTAGATATTTCATGGTAAATCTTTATTTTACACTGTGAGTTGTAAAATAGCTGAAAATGTCAGATGTCAGTAGCAGTTAAAGTTTTAAAAGCATCTTAAATGTTAAGTTTTCTTTCTAATCCCATCTACATTCTAGCAATGATTTTGTAGTTCATTAATCAAATAATAGTAACAGATATTCTCAGAATGATAGAAAGTGGTCAAGGAAGATAATTTGTAAATTGATTTGTAGATAGGGGAGTTATATATCCAGGACATTTGTGTCTTTTTTAATATATATATTTTCTAAATCTCTACGTGGTAGCCATCTCAGGGAGCAACAACCAACCATTTTTGGCACAGCCCTCAACTATATAGCTATGCGAATCCTTGGATATGGACCTGACCATCCAGATATAGTGAGGGCTCGAATCTCTCTCCATAAAAAAGGTGAGAATCAAGTCAGAAATATCCAGAGAGATATTTAGCCATGAAAATGATCCCTCCCCATATGTTGTCAGATGGTTTCCCATCTAGAATCTAGATGACTTTTATGTCTTCGAACATGTAAGCATCTTTCCTTTTTATTATAATGGCACCTTTAAATAAGGTTGCTGTTCCTATATTCTGACTGAAGCCCGAGGTATTTGCTTCCCCTTTATCTGTATTAAGGGCAGAAGGGTTTTGATAATGTGTTAATCATTGGGTATAGGTCAGTGGTGGGATTCAATTTTTTTTACTACTGGTTCTGTGGGTGTGGCTTGGTGGGCATAGTGTGGCTTGGTGTGCGAGGCAGGGGAAGGTTACTGTAAAATCACATTCCCTCCCCTACTCCATTCTCCTGTGCAAGGCAACAAAAGCGGACCCAGCTGATCAGCTGGGACTTGGGAAGCAGATGGGGGCGGGGCTAACCAGAGGTGGTATTTGCCAATTCTCCGAACTACTCAAAATTTCCATTACCAGTTCTCCAGAACTGGTCAGAACCTGCTGAATACCACCTCTGGTATAGATGCTTTTTGCTTCAAGCCAACCAAGCCAAGGAGTTCAGCGACTTGTCTAAAAGCAATTTTCATGGGTGTAGAGAGATGGCCAACTAAATGCTAAACCCGCTGGTCATCCTAAGCTTATTAATCCTTCTTCTCCCTATAGCACAAAGGGCAACAGTATTTAATTCTCTAACTTTATACAAATCTAATCAAATCCAGTAATTAAAATCTAAATAAAGGTGTATTATGCATGGGATAGTGAGAAGGTAACCAGCTGCACCATTATCTAAGCAAATCAAGTAATATATCAGCAAGTTATATAACAGGTAGATCTATAGATTGGTGAAGATTTGTGGTTCTTGTGTTGCTTCTACATAGAGTGAGTGCTGCTTCCCTCTTACCCCCATTGACAATTCTCTTTCCAGGTGGAGCTCTTGGAGCCCCACATTTGGGGAAAGTGTGGCTGGCTATTATGAATGTGTACAGCTGGGAGGGAATGAATGCACCGTTTCCTGAATTGTGGTATGCACTCTAAAGTTGTGTTGCATTTTGTTTTGATATCAAGGGGCCATTGAATAAAATTAGCCAACACAATATTATATTCTCTAATCTGTAAAACCCTGAAGATTTCAACACAGCTGCACTCTTTCCCAAACTGCAAATGAAGACATCTGAATTATATTTGCAACAATATTGGCTTCTAACCCAGTTTTGATTCTACCAGGATATGTTTACAAGTTTTTCAATTTATAAAAGTTAACTCTTTGTGGCTGCCTCTTTGAGAGAGATGTGCAGTTTAGAAATATGAAATATAAGTAAATAAATAGATTCAGGATTCAAGCTGCAGTAGCCTAGAAATTCAGAAGGACTTAGCATGGGAGGGCCATACAGTGTTAGCAAATATTAATGCTAGCCGATAAGACTAAGAAGTTAAAATGCCCAATTTTGAATTATTTTGAACAAAAGATTATTCTAAACTAACAAATGAGTAATTCGGGGGAGTTATCCAGAACTGAAGTCAACTCAGCCATTGGATGGAAATGGGACTTGATTTTAACAACATAGAATATTAAATCATCTTCCAATTCAAATTGTACTGGATTATATATATGAATATTTCACAGTATCTTCCATTTGTACAGTGTATATGCTGTGATGGTTTTGCTGTAAGAGACTGAAATGTATTAGGCTACTTTTTTTATTTGTCATCTCAGCCACTGGCAATACTTAGCCAACTTTAGTTTCTATCAGAAGCTAAACAAGATTTGGCCTGAATAGTTTAAGGATACATGATTGTCTAAAAATTATATACTTCTGCCAAGAAAACTATGTGGATGCAGGAATCAGGTCTGAATTCAACATGTCTAAACTTACTGATTCCATCTTCAGCAAAGTTGAAGGCCTGCAAAGGCCTTAATATCCATAGATCAGTGAAATCCAACCTTCACATTAGTCTTAGAAGCTCTGCTCTCTTTTAATGTTTTTCAAAATGGTTGGAATTCCTTTATGAAGCTCTAGAAATTACAACAGGGAGAAATCAAATGTTTTTGAGATATGTTTGCAAACCAGGCAACAGTTTTACCTACTATATTTAAGATTCCTGCCTATCTCGTTATGATCCTGTTGCTTCCCTCATTCCGAGGCAGGCTGTTACCTACCTGGGTGCCAGGCCATCCCTCTACTTATTGGTGCCATGCCCGCCATATTTTGCTTGCAACGACCTACTGCCAACTCAACCGCCTGAGTGCAGAAGAAGATGAACTGGTCCGGAGTCTCAGGCAGGTAAAGGAACAGTATTCACATAATCTCTCACTTATTCTGTATCCAAACAGGAATAACATTACTTAAGATACAGTATAATTGCTGCCCTAATGAGAGTATACTGACTTCTGTTTTAAGCAAACGCAAGAACGTTTTTATATTTAATCTCTTTTATGATACGTGGAAGACTCATAAGACATGAAAAAGCAAACTTGAAATATAATTCCACAGTAATGCTAGCATTTCCAATGAATAGGTCTTTTGACATGAGAAGGTTTTTCAAATGTTGGCCATTTGTGTGTCTATTACACTTGATTTTGGTGAAGAAACTATATCATGTGGTACTAGGAAAGTTTTGGTTTCCTCAACAAATGAAACATATAATTTGAATTGCATCTTGATTCCTTTTCCTCTTTTATACTTCCAGAAAAGCAAATATTTTGCCAAAACTCTATTTTAGAGAACTTCCAGAGCTAGCTAGAGATGATTAATTTAGGTAGATGTTGCTTTATGGGTTATTTCTCTTTGTTTGTTTTTCCCACATTTGCTAATCCAAGAAAGCTGTTCCCAAGGTAAACTCATAGCCAATGCATCCTTGTCAATTTCTTACCAAATTCCTATCAGGGAAAAAAAAACCTTGAACTAAAATTAATTCTTCAACCAATAACCCTTCAACCAGCAGGGGGAGCTAAGGGATGTTGTCTCTATCCAGACCCAATAAAAAGCTGCACTCATTTTCTGATTACAAATAGACAAGAAGTTTTACTGTGTTACTTGAATAGAGCCACAAATAAAGAATTTTTATACTTCACTGTTTGCAATGAAGCAATAACCATTCAGGTCTACAAACAGGTTATAGAGGCATGAAAATAGCTTTATGCATTGTATAACAGCTACAGAACTGAATTCAGTGTGCTGGAATGTCAGTTTCTGGAAGCTTGCTCAGCAAATTAAATACATGTTATAATTTTGTGTAAGCCTATAAAGAGGGACACTAATCTCCACAACTTTAGGCTTCTCTTTGCCTCTTGTACTGACTCTGTCCTGCAGTGAGGATGTGCTGACCACTGCTTTTAAACAAGCTCAAAAATCACCTTGCACTGGCAAGCAACTGAGGAAAGGGAATTATCGCCTTCTGCTCAAGCCCTATGAACTTTCCTATTGTACCGTGTTTTCCACTTTCTGCACCAAATGCTGGACTAGATGGACATAATCTGATCAGGCGTGGCTCTTCTTATATTCTTAACCACAAAATATCAACATCTCTCCATTGTTTATGTGGTTTGTATTTAATATCTGTTTCTGCAGATAGAAACCGTCTAAATTTCCCTGTGAATACTTAGATTTGCCTAAACCTAAACTTGGTTAAAAAACAAAACACTGAAAATAGCATCTTTATATATATATATATATGGTGTTCGGCTTGGTTCGGGTATTTTCCCACGTCATTGTCTGTGAGTCAGACTTTTACAGTTGTTTCACAGACTGACTCACAGACGGACACAATACAGAAGCCTGATGATGGCAGATGAGATTCTGCCGAAACGTTGCTACAACTTTAAAAGCACAAGTACAATGACGTGGGAAAATACCCGAACA